ATTGATTCAATCCCTACTTATGATAATCATTGATTTACCTGGTGGTTGCTACTCGTCTTCATGATATCCGCGTCTTGAGAATAAGAATGTAAAATGTATTGTGACGCGATAAACTTTAAAAAAGACCGCGATAAATAAAAATAAAAATTAAAAAAATTTTGGCATCGTTTAATAAAGGAAAATTCCTTGTCGATCTTCAAAGAAAGAAATTGATCTGAAGAGTAAAAAGAGTAAAAAATTTGAGGAACCATTGCGCACCCCGGGCCAGACTTCATGATACTTATCCTAACGCGGTGATGGGCCTTGCCTGTCGCTTCTTTCAGACAGGGGAGTTGGCCGCGGTACTTGCCCAAGGTACCAACCCCTGCTTACTTGCTCTTCTCCACCTGTTTTTCGCTAGATATTTATCATTTCTCAATCAGTCCATAGGGTACCCTCATTTATTTCAACCGTTTGCAATAAGCGTCCTTACAACAACGGGAAGTTAGAAGCTAACCTTATAATTCGCTATAATTTCAACTTCCTAAAAATTGTGGGATTGTGATCGACATAAGTAGCCAATAATAATTTAAAATATGACATGTGATCATGAATCATGTGACCTTATTTAGATCACGGGATGAATGAATAATAAAAAAAAATTGTGAAATTGAGTACAGTAGCAGCTGAACCCGCAACATGCCGTTTTTTCGCACCATGCCACGCGTTGTTACTACTATACCAATTCATCACTGATGTTAATTTACATAAAAAATTAAATAATTTAAACTAGATTGCACGAAACATGTGATTAATTAACTGTTGTATGTGTAGCAATATAATAAAAAGAAAAAATTTTTTTTTTTATTAAAAAACAGAAATAATCGAAAAAGTAAGTATATAAATTGCTAGTCAATTTTGTCATTTAACCATTGATGTGAACGTGACACTTCACTTCTAAAACTTTTAAAATTATATCCAATTCTTACGTTTGACGCTTATGATAGTTCTGATAATATTCATGTGATATGATGTACATAATAAAGTTTTTTTTATCGATGCAATATCTGATGTACGAATCTTTTTGCAACGGTCCATATCGGTCACAGGATATGTTACTAAAATTTTATACCAATTGTAAAAGCTCAAAAAACATGATGCATAAGATTTCTTAATTCAAAGTTACACAAAGATTTTGTCACTTAATTTTGCGAGAATTGCTTTAATTAAGAGATCAGCATACTGTATTTTCACAATTTTTATATATAAAAAAGCTAGTTCACAACTTTCACTTATATGCTAATACCAAAATTTAATGGTTAT